TTTAGCTCATTCTAATGTCTTAGCAAGTTTACCTAGGCCATCAGTGGACTCTCAGGGACTGCTGCTTACAAGGGTGGACCTTGGCACCGCAGGGTCTTGGACACACTTTTATACTCCAAATAAAACTTGTCAGACAGAGGGCAGTCTGGATGACTGGAAAAGCAAGCAGCCCGTGTTTGAGTCTTTGGCATCAAGACTCCCTGCTGTGGAGTTGACATTGACTCATGACTCATCGTGATCCTGGAGGACATGGTAGAATTGCCCCTGTGAGTTTCCAAGACTGTAACTGTTTGTGGGAGTAGAAAGCCCCATCTTTCTCCCGAGGAACGCTGGTGGCTTTGAACGGATGACCTTGCAGATCACAGCGCAACTCGTAACCACTGTGCCACCAGGGCTCCTCTGGTATCAAGACTGAAGGTCTTAATTTGTTGTTAGGTGCCCTCTTTCCACAGGGATTCCCATTGGCTTTTCCTCCTTTGTCCAGCCCTTGCTAAGGACAGTTTTGAAATGCCTCTTCCTCTTGGGAGAGAATGTAAATGTTCAGGTGTGTGTTGCTTTGCTTGGATACAGGATTTATCCACCTTCGTAAATCATCAGGCAAGTTAACGTGTGTTCTCTGCTCCCACCTTCACTCCACATGAATCGCACGCAGTGAATTAGGGTAATCGGCCACCACGTTGTGTGTGAACTTTGGTTTCAAAAATTGCATGCCTTTCACCAAAAACCCGAATCCACTGCCCTCGAGTCCGTTCCACTGATAGCGACCCTAAAGGACAGAGTAGAACAGCCCTGGTGTGTTTCCGAGACGATAACTCTTGACTCAGGAATGAAATCCTTATTCCGTGGAGTGGCCGGTGGTTTTGAACTGCCAGCCTTGGGGTTAGCAGGCCAACGCATACCCAGTGCATCACCAGAGGTCCTTTTGCATTTCTCCAAGGGTGACTCGGCAGCCCTGGTGGTGTAGTGGTTTACTCCTTTCCACCTAACTTTTTTTCACTACATGATGATCTCGAGCTTCCTTCATGGTGTTCCACGTACCGCTGCGTTCATTGCATCGCAGAAAAGCATTCCATTTTATGGGCATAAGTCAATTTGCTTATCCT